AAGAAAGGAAGAAAGGAAGAAAGGAAGAAAGGAAGAAAGGAAGAAAGGAAGAAAGGAAGAAAGGAAGAAAGGAAGAAAGGAAGAAAGGAAGAAAGAAAGAAAGAAAGAAAGAAAGAAAGAAAGAAAGACCAAACCCAGACCTTCACTTTCTCCCTGGCCCTGCAAATCACCCCTCAGCTCCATTAGCCGCCCTCCACTCCCATGACCCTCACACTTTTCAGAGCTCATTTTATGATTGCTGGCCTTTAATTGTGCTGACACTACATCCTTTCCCCAACATCTCCCTCTTTCCCTTACATAACCCCAAAGACACCTGGTTTGTCCACGGCAGTTCTTCTAAGCCTGCTGCTCACCCCATTGCCAAGGCAGGCGTTGCTGTTGTGTCTTCTTCCCCCATTATCACCGCCATTATTCTGCCCCCTCCACACACCTCCTCACAACAGGCAGAACTCTTAGTCCTCATTAAAGCCTTACAGTTCGCACAATGCTGTTCCATTAACATATACAGAGTCGAAGTATATTTTCCACATAATCCATCACCATGCAGCCATATGGCAAGAAGGAGGATTCATCACCACCCAAGGCTCCTCTAGTGTCAATGCCACACTCATTAAAAACCTCCTGAATATGGCCACTCTCCCAAAGGAGTAGCCATCATCCACTGTAAAGGCCACCAGAATAAAACAGATCCAATTTCCAAAGGCAACTAAAAAGCCAGATATAGGAGCCAAATGGTCAGTGCAATGCCCTATACCCCCACCCCGAGCAGGTCAGTACTTGGCCTTCAGAGAATTCTCTCTAGTATACACATCTGAAGAACAGGACAATGACTGACATCTTCCCACACAGGAAAGATGGTTCCTTCAACAGGGAAAATTTATTCTTCCTTCCTCCCAAGCACAGAACATCCTCTCCTCCCTCCACAGTGGCCTTCACGTTGGCTTCAGGCCTCTTTACACCCTTCTTTCTTCACTCCTTCCTCATCCACGACTATCTTCCCGTTTAAAATGGATAACACGGTTGTGCACAATCTACTCTTAGGGGACCATAAAATCACCCCCTTTTCTCACATATTGGGCCCAGGGCCAAACCGTCAGATAAGACTGGCAGATCGACTTCACCCACATGCCTCCTGTATGAGAATGTAAACATCTTCTAGTTTGGGTTGATACCTTCTCAGGGTAAGCCAAAGCCTTTCCCACAACAAGCGAGAAAACCCATGAAGTTGTCGCCACCCTCCTCCACCACATTTCTTAGATTCAGCCTCCCCAACTCCATTCAGAGCAACAATGGCCAGCTTTCATCAGTCAGATCACCTCCCAATCCTCACAAGTCCTAGGAGTCCAGTGGCACTTAGATGTGCCTTACAGGCCCCAGTCATCAGGGAAAGTAGAACAAATGAACAACATCTCACCAAGTTAGTGCTCCAACACAAACAAGATTGGATTAAACTCCTCCCCAGTGCTTTACTCCACATTTGCTCCATCCCTTGCAAACCCCTCCTTTACAGCCCTTCTGAAATAACGTATGGTAGAACTATTCTTCTGGGCCCTGGACCCCTCCAGAATCTATCATAGGAGACTTTTCCCATCGTCCAAGAAACCAGGAATGAACTTAGAAAAACAATAAACCAGCTTCTACCAGCAGAGAAGTCAGAGACCAAATAGCAGGACAAGAAGTTTTCCTCAAATCTCCCTTGCCCCCCAGGACTCTATCCCCTCACTGGACAGGCCTTCACACCATTCTCTGGACACCCCCACCCCCACTCCAGGCTGGATCCACCAATCCCAAATAAAGCTTTGTCCTACAGGAAAACTTCCAACGCTGGAAGACCCCCACTGGAAATCACAAGTACTATCCCCCACCACCTTAAAACTCACCAGGATCCCCAAAGAGTCCACTTCCTTAAAAATGTGCAACATTCCTCCCAGATTCTTCCCTTTTCTCCATAACTTTTCTCAGGATGCCTGGTTACTCTCACACATTCAAAGCTGGGATGACCTCTTTGAAGCCTTTAAAGATATGTAGCTACAGGGCACCTTCTAAGACTTTTCCCTGGAGGAAACTCAATGTTTCCTCTTCCTGCTCCTTTTCCTTCTGGCTACCCCTCCTGTCCATCCTGGTCTTTCTCCCCTGCCCGTCAACCCTGAGTGAATGCACCAGTTGTCTTGCTACCCAAACCTCATATGGCTGTGAATACCTCACCAACCCTCATTCCCACAGCAACTACATCCGATTCTTACCTCGGACCCCCTTTTTCACTAGCTACATTTATATGCCAGCACACTGTTATGATGTTACCAAAGCCTCTGAACGTTCTTATGGAGGAAACAGGTACTTGGCTGGTGAAATAATGCATGCGGGATGCCTCAGAGGTGGAGTCAGGACTACCATCTGCTGGACCTACCTCACGCATGCAGGATTATCAGATGGAGGAGGAGTTCAGGACACAGCACATCAGCAAGAGACAAGACAAATCATAAAAAACTCTCTTCCAGCACAACCCCTCCACTCTATAAAGGATTAGACCTCACTGTCCTGCAAGACCTACAACAACATTCCCTTATTCCCCAGCTTTTAAACACCTTCTTGGCAGCCCTGAACTCTTTCTCTCTCCTCTCCCCCTCAGGATGCTGGATGCGCCTTTCTTTATACTAACATCTTTTCAATCCCATTCTCATACCCGACACTTATAACTTTTCCATGCTGGCAAAAAATAATACAGCTCTGTTTGACACCGTAACTATAGACTCTCACCCCTAACTGCCCCCAATTTAACTGTCTTCAATCTCACTGGTACAGGAGACTCTGTAGGCTCTATAAAACCTGATCTCTGTTCCCTCAACTCAACTTTTCCCTTATCTGACTCCTCCGGTGCCCCATCAGGAATATTTTTCCTCTGAGGCCACTCCGCCTATTGGTGCCTGCACACTAACCACTCGGGTCTTCACACCTGAGTTTTCGTCACCCCCCCCCCCAAATCTCTTTTGTGAGTGACTCCTCCCTAAATTGGGCCCTGACACATCCCTCTACTTCTACACAAAAAAGAGGTGTCTTCCTCCCTGTACTCCTTGGAACAGACATAGTGGCTAGACTATTACGGGCATTGCAGGCATTAGTACATTCACTCACTTTTACCACCAACTCTCCCTAGAACTTAATGAAGCTATGGAAAGGGTAGCAGACTCTTTAGTCACCCTACAATCCCAAATTAACCCTTTAGCTTCAGTGGTCTTCTAAAATTGCCAAACCTTAGATTTACTTACACCAGAAAAATGAGGCACATGCATTTTAGGGGGAGAAGAATGTTGTTTCTTTGTTAACGAGCCAGGGCTAATCACAGGCAAAGTAAAAGAACTCCAAGAATGAATCAAACAGAGACAAACAAATCTTGAATCATCTAATCCCTGGTCCTTAGTCAATTCCTGGTCTGCATGGTTACTTCCTATCTTAGGGCCACTAATTATGATCTTTCTCACTCTCAGTTTTGGACCGTAGTCCTCTGTCTCATCTCCCAATTTACTGACAGGCAGTCACCCCAAAAACAGCTGCCCATATTCTTGTCCTTGCCTTATAAGGATATCAACCAGTTCAGACTGAAGACCCAAGAGTGTTCCTATAAACATCACTCCCTTCCCCTCCCATTTTCCTTATAGGCATCCCCCTACCACAGGAAGAAGTCAAAGAGATACCACACCCATCACTCTACCTCCTTATAATAGACCAGAAAGACTGGATGATAGGGCTGAACGAAGGGACCTGCTCAAATAGAATCATCCCACCCAGGAAGGAATGAGTGCACCAATCCCTATCCCTCCTCAGAACTCTTATATTCCTACCCACCTTAACCCCATGTGCTGACTGCTAACCTCTTTTTTGAACTCAGCCCACTTGCACCTGAGTGAATGAAGACCACGTTGCCCACACAGAACCTGGACTCCACTTCCTTTTGTTCATGTCTCATAATAACCTCTCTTTTTTGGTCCTTGACCTCTCACTTTCAGAACTGTCAGTAGCAATTTCTTCTGGGAAGAACAGCTTGGTCAGAGGAGGAAAGAATATTTTGATCTTTTGCATTTTGTTCTGTTTGACTTTTGTAACGGTAATGATTTAAAATTTTTATTTTGTGTTTGCCTATTGCCCTTTTTATATAAGCTACCTGGTCAAGCATTATCCCTTGTCTACATTTTGGCCTGCAGGTGTCAGGTCTTCTACACTGCCCAGCAGGAAGCAAAGGAGACCAGCAGGAGACACAGAGAATGTCTAATGTGAAGCATCCTAGCATGACAAAAATCTACCAGACCAAGCCTTCCACTCAAAGTAGGCTGAGAAATATCTCAAACAAGCATAGCCTGGATACCCTGCTTACACAGTCTTGAAAAAACACACAGACCCCACCGATTTCAGGGGTATAGAAGATGTGAAGAAATTCTATGATTACAAATGACCTCTTACACGGAAGACAACTGGTATTCTGATAGTAATACAGGTTCCCCCACTCAGGGCTGGACTGGGACTCCCCCATTCTCTAGGCCCAGGTGAGCTCAGAAATCAAACTCCCATCTCTAGGCACAAACAGGCTGCCCTTTCCAGGCCACACTCCCTGAGCTCTGGCAAGGTTATGAACAAAGGAGCCTGAACAGTTTGGGGTGGTTCCACCTTGAGTAGGGAGCACACACCCTAATCCCTTCCCTGAGACAAAAACTGCAGAGACCTAATAACCTAACCCCAGTGGAGGGACTGCATTCATTCATTTGTTAATACGCATTAATACTCATTAACTTTGAAAAGGTGTTTTTTAACCTACCAATTCCTGGCTAAATGTAATTCTCAAGACTATATATACCCCTAGACAAAGGATCCATGTGAAGACT